TGGCCAACACGGTAAGACCCTGTCTCTACTAAAAATACAAAAATTAGCTGGGTGTGGTGGCACATGCCTGTAATCCCAGCTACTCGGGAGGCTGAGGCAGGAGAATAGCTTGAACCAGGAGACGGAGGTTGCAGTGGGCCAAAATCGCGCCATCGCACTCCAGCCTGGGGGACAAGAGTGAGACTTAGTCTCAAAAAAATAATAATAAGGGGCCGGGCGCGGTGGCTCAAGCTTGTAATCCCAGCACTTTGGGAGGCCGAGACGGGCGGATCACAAGGTCAGGAGATTGAGACCATCCTGGCTAACGTGGGGAAACCCCGTCTCTACTAAAAAAATACAAAAAACTAGCCGGGCGAGGTGGCGGGCGCCTGTAGTCCCAGCTACTCGGGAGGCTGAGGCAGGAGAATGGCGTGAACCCGGGAGGTGGAGCTTGCAGTGAGCTGAGATCCGGCCACTGCACTCCAGCTTGGGTGACAGAGCGAGACTCCGTCTCAAAAAAAAAAAATAATAATAATAATAATAATAATAATAATAATAAAATAAGAAGAACTTCATGTCAGCTTTAGGACATGAAAAATAAATGACATCTGTGAAAGTAGGACTATTCTTCCTCCCAACAACACAAAAATGTGTTCTACCCTCCATAAAGTCAAGATTTAGTATTTAGTGCATTAGATACTGCCATAGCCTCAATGCCTGGAAAACACCAGAACCTGGGGGATGTTTAAATAGTTGGAACACCATTTGAATGCACCACCACCAGTCCATACAAGAATCACAAATGTTAATTGTATTACTAATTCTAAGAATCCAAGCTCCCCATTTTCCACTCAGATATCACTTCTTATCACTACACATTATTTGAACAGTAAATGACATAAAAATCTGTCTTCCAAGCTGGGCACTGTGGCTCACACCTGTAATCCTAGCACGTTAGGAGGCTGAGGTGAGAGGATTGCTTGAGTCCAGGAGTTTGAGACCAGCCTGGGCAACACAGTGAGACCCCCATCTCTACAAAAAAATACAAATTAACTGTGTGTGGTGGATCACGCCTATAGAGCGAGCTACTCAGGAGGCCGAGGCAGGAGAATGGCTTGAGCCCATAAGGCCAAGACTGCAGTGAGCCACGATTACATTACTGCACTCTAGCCTGGGTGATAGAACGAGCCCCATCTCTAAAAACAAAACAAAAGAAAGAAGGAAATCTGAGGTTGGGTATACCTACAGTTCAAGACCACAGCCTTCTCAAAACATAAAAACATGCTTTCTGTATTTATTCCTTTTAATAAGCAATCCCCTATAACCTGCCTCATTAAGGTAAGAATATTCAAAATATCCATATAAGGAAAAAAATTTCACTTGTGGTAGAAGAGAGTGAGTGAGTTACCAGGATCTTGAACGAAAACAAAACAGGACCCCAGCAATGAATCCCAAAGGTTAGTGGTGAAGTTAGTGTTGTACAACACTTCACGCAAAGCACAAACGGCGGTCACTGTTCCAGGAACCCCAGAAAACTACCATGGCAAGCCGGCTCGAGAATCACTCCCGCTCTAACGCCTGCGACCACTCAGACCATATCTCAGTAACCACCCTTTCGAGAAAGAGATCTTGCAAGGTTAATGTGAAGTCAAAGGTTAAAGATTCACTTCTATTCTCCCTAATAAGAATACATACTAAAAGCATAAAAATTGTTTGTTTGTTTGAGACAGGGTTTCATTCCTATTGCCCAGGATGGAGTGCAGTGGCCCACTCTCGGTTCACTACAACTTCCACCTCCCAGGCTCAAGCAATCCTCCTGCCTCAGCCTCCCGAGTAACTGGGACTACAGGCACACGTCACCACCCCCAGCTAATTTTTGTATTTTTAGTAGAGATGGGGTTTCGTCATGTTGGCCAGGCTGGTCTTGAACTCCTGTCCTCAAGTGATCCACCCGCCTCGGCCTCCCAAAGTGCTGGGATTACAGGTGTGAACCACCACACCCAGCCAGAAATGTTTTTAATAATGAAAATTGATCTAAAGCAGGTAAATATTGTACCTGTGACTAAAATTCACTGCAGATTGGCAAACTTTTTTTTTTTTTTTTTTTTTTTTTTTGAGATGGAGTCTTGCTCTGTCACCTAGGCTGGAGGGCAGTGGCATGATCTGGCCTCACTGCAACCTCTGCCTCCTGGGTTCAAGCAATTCTCCTGCCTCAGCCTCCCAAGTAGCTGGGATTACAGGCGTATGCCACGACGCCCAGTTAATTTTTGTATTTTTAGTAGAGATAAGGTTTAACGATATTAGCCAGAATGGTCTTGATCTCCTGACCTCAGCTGATCCGCCCACCTCGGCCTCCCAAAGTGCCGGGATTACAGGCATGTGCCACCATGCCCAGCCAGATTGGCAATTTCAAGTTCTTACAACCTATATATACAGGATGGCTCATTTCTGCAAAGCTGTCTTAAAGACATCCCAGTTAAAGAGAATTTGAAAGGGTATATAGCTAGTAGACCCATAAAGGGCTCCTAGTCTCTAAGAAAGTAAGTGTTTTTTTTGTTTGTTTTTTTTTTTTTTTTTGAGACGGAGTCTTGCTCTCTTGCCCAGGCTGGAGTGCAGTGGCGCAATGTCGGCTCACTGCAAGCTCCACCTCCTGGGTTCATGCCATTCTCCTGCCTCAGCTTCCTGAGTAGCTGGGACTACAGGTGCACGCTGCCACATCCAGCTAATTTTTTGTAGTTTTAGTAGAGACGAGGTTTCACCATGTTAGCCAGGATGGTCTTGATCGCCTGACCTTGTGATCCACCCTCCTCGGCCTCCCAAAGTGCCGGGATTATAGACGTGAGCCACCACGCCCGGCCGTGAAAGTGTTTCAAGAGTCTAGATTTTGGCCGGGCATGGTGGCTCCCACCTGTAATCCCAGCACTGAGGGAGGCTGAGGCGGACAGATCACCTGAGGTCAGTAGTTTGAGACCAGCCTGACCAACATGGTGAAACCCCATCTCTACTAAACTACAAAAATTAGCCGGGTGTGGTGGTGCGCACCTGTAGTCCCAGGCACTCAGCAGGCTAAGCCGGGAGAACCATTTGAACCTGGGAGGCGGAGGTTGCAGTGAGCTGAGATCAGACGACTGCACTCCAGCCTGGGTGACACAGTGAGATTCCGTCTAAAAAAAAAAAAGGCCGGGCGCGGTGGCTCACGCCTGTAATCCCAGCACTTTGGGAGGCCGAGGCGGGCGGATCACAAGGTCAGGAGATCGAGACCACGGTGTAAACCCCGTCTCTACTAAAAATACAAAAAATTAGCCGGGCGCGGTTGTGGGCGCCTGTAGTCCCAGCTACTCGGGAGGCTGAGGCAGGAGAATGGCGTGAACCCGGGAGGCGGAGCTTGCAGTGAGCCGAGATCGCGCCACTGCACTCCAGCCTGGGCGACAGACCGAGACTCCGTCTCAAAAAAAAAAAAAAAAAAAAAAAAAGGATTCTAGGTCTTAGGCGTTTAAGAAAACAGGGACATGTGACTGTTACAGAGGGTAAAAAAACAGAACACACAAGGACAATGGTTTTAAGAGCGCAGTCTACTTCAAAAAACAGGATGTGATGTCTCTCTGACATTGACGTGCTTTATGGGGTGCAAAGCAATAAGAAAATTATTTGGGAGGGGGCGCATCATCTCTCCACTTAAACTCACAGTCAAACTTAGAAAAAAGTTCCATTGTTTACGTACTGCATTACTTAAATAAAAGATGAAAACGGGCCGGGCGCGGCGGCTCACGCCTATAATCCCAGGACTTTGGAAGAGCGAGGCGGGCGGATCACTTGAGGTGAGTTTGAGACCAGCCTGGCCAACATGGTGAAACCCCGTCTCTAGTAAAAATACAAAAAAAAATTAGCTGGGCGTGGTGGTACATGCCTGTAATCCCAGTTACTCTGGAGGCTCAGCCACGAGAATCGTTTGAACCCGGGAAGCCGAGGTTGCAGTGAGCCAGGGTTGTGCCACTGCATTCCAGCCTGGGCAACAGAGTGAGACCCTGTCTCAAAAAAAAAAAAGGGGGGGGAGGAAAGGGACAATGTATCAAGTGTTTGCACCCAGCGTACAGAAACACAGGGTTTTCCAAGTTTTTATTTACTTAAGGACAATCCTTATGCTGGGCACAGTGGCTCATGCCTGTAATCCCAGCACTTTGGGAGGCCGAGGCGGGTAGGCCACAAGATCAGGAGATTAAGACCATCCCGGACAACAGGGTGAAACACCGTCTCTACTAAAAATACAAAAATTAGCTGGGTGTGGTGGTGCGCGCCTGTAATCCCAGCTCCCAGAAGGCGGAGACTGCGATGAGCCGAGATTGCACCTCTGCACTCCAGCCTGGCGACAGAGCGAGACTCTGTCTCAAAAATTAAAAAATAGGACAGTCCTTTAAGAAGTTAATATTCACCCTCAGAGACTAGGTTTCTGAGTATTTGTATGAACCAACACCTTTTCTTCCAACTCCAACTGAAACAGGTACAAAGAGCACAAGACAGAATAATCAAAAATAGATGGTGACAACTTCTCGATTGTGATGCATCTGAATTGAGACCTCTGGGTCATAAAGAATTTCTATCACTGATAAAGTAATCGTTTCAAACTGTTACTTTTTCACGAAAGAAAAAACTTGATGTTTATTCGCAGCAAAAATTGATGGTAAATTCCACAGCAAATAGAGCCACTGGCTACTCACGTACACACAGTAAAAACACTTTCTACTCAACTATGGAGTTTTCTGCTTTTAAAAGTCCTGCCAGTGGATAGTCACAATGATTTTCTCACCATTATACAATCTCTTTCAGCAAAATAAAGAGGGTCTGGGGTCATGTCTTTACTTTTTATCTATAAGAAGCTGAAGAAAGTCAACACAAATCTAGAATATGAAAATAGTACCTCATGGTGTCTGTGGAATCGAGGCAGGCATCAGCTCATATCCTGCCAGAAGCTGGGCAAACATTTTTAACAGCCTGGCTGTGAGGTCATGACGATGACCTCACAAACAGGAATTCTGATGTTAGTCGGCCTCTGGGCTCAAACCTCACCACTTTAAACAAAAACCAGAGGGTTCCGTATCCCTGAATCTGGAGCTGATGACTCAAGAAATGTCCTTTCTCCTAAGAAATAATCCTCCCATCTGAGATTAGCAGTATCTAATCTGTTTTCTCCACTGCTGACCAGCATCAGCAACACAGGTAAGCAGAGAAAAGCACGTCCACCTAAACAGCTGAACACCAGTCATGTACGCATATCTGTATTACCTGCAAACTTCCAGTACGCAAGTTTTTCTTTTGGTTCGGATCCAAACACTTTTTCTTAGTGTTCTTTACTGGAAAATTGGGCTACATTTAAGAATCCCGGCCAGGCACGGTGGTTCACGCCTGTAATCCCAGCACTTTGGAAGGCCAAGGCGGGCGGATCATAAGGTCAAGAGATCGAGACAACCCTGGCCAACATGGTGAAACCCCGTCTCTACTAAAAATACAAAAATTAGCTGAGCATGGTGGTGCGCGCTTGTAGTCCTAGCTACTCAGGAGGCTGAGGCAGGAGAATTGCTTGAACCTTGGAGGTGGAGGTTGCAGTGAGCCGATACTGTGCCACTGCATTCCTCCCTGGCGACAGAGCAAGACTTCATCTCAAAAAAAAAAAAATCCTGATAACTGAGTAGGAAATAAATCATAAACTTAAAATGTTACCCTTGCCAGTCAGGCGCGGTGGCTCACGCCTGTAATCCCAGCACTTTGGGAGGCCAAGGTGGGCGGATCACGAGGTCAGGAGATTGAGACCATCTTGGCTAACACGGTGAAACCCTGTCTCTACTAAAAACACAAAAAATTAGCTGGGTGTGGCGGCGTGCACCTGTAGTCCCAGCTACTCGGGAGGCTGAAGCAGGAGAATGGCGTGAACGCAGGAGGCAGAGGTTGCAGTGAGCCGAGATCGCGCCACTGCACTCCAGCCTGGGCGACAGAGCGAGACTCCGTCTCAAATATATATATATATATATATATATGTTTTTAAAACACACAAGTTTGGCCAGGCGTGGTGGCTCACATCTATAATCCCAGCGTTTTGGGAGGCCAAGGCAGGAGGATTACTTAAGTCCAAGAGTCTTAGAGTTGCCTGCGCAACATAGTGAAACCTCATCTCTAAAAAAAATTTTTTTTTAATTAGCTGGGCATGGTGGCACCTGCCTAGAATCCCAGCTACTTGGGAGACTGAGGCAGAAGGATCACCTGAGCCCAGGAGATTGAGTCCAGCCTGGGCAATATAGCAAGACTTTATCTCTAAAATATTTTTTTAAAAAGTTTAAGGGAAAAAAAGAGACTTATTATAGAAAATACATATTTTAATAAAATCTAACCCCCCCTTCCTCCTGATCAGGTATCTGAACAACAACAACAACAAAAAAACCTTAAGCAATTTACAGAAACAAGAGGTTCCACAAAATCAGCAGTTCCCAAAAACAAGAATGGTGAAAATTACGCTCATACAAGAAGGAGTAATATTCTTTATAATTCTCATCTAATTTCTTAAGGTTATGTTTACTCCTATTTTTTAAATGTCATGGTTCAAATAAATACAAAAGTACGAACAGAGAGCTGGACTGGGAAGTGAGACACCTAAACTCCCGTCCCAGATGGACGACCCTGAACAACTCACGTTTTGTAACCCCTTCCCCGGCTCAGTATTCCCACCTGCAACCTGAGGACACTCATTAAATAAGATCTGTTTCTAACTCCACACCTTCACGGTGCTAGTCCTGTTTTGGGTATCAAATCAAAATCCTGTAAGCAAAAGGTGAAGGATTCAGAAGTGAAAGGAAAGATGGTGGCTCTAACTTTGCCAAAGTAAAAAGTACAGGCCTCTGCCATCAGTGAAGAAAGAACCTAAATCTGGTAAGAGTTTCAAACGGGCTCAGCACCTCCTGGCACACATAGAGCGGCATCGCGCTGCCCCAAGAAAATCACATCTCTACACGTCAGACCCTTTCCAGTCCATTTTGCCCCATCCACAAAATGAAAATGCCACTTGATTTACTAAACCTAAAAATTCTGTTGGGAGGCAAAGGAGAGTTAGAGAATTTGCAATGAATTTAACCTGCCAGGAGAGGGAGTTTAACACCAAGCTTCCAGAAACAGGCTGCGTGGTAGCTACAACGTCCAGAAACCCAGGTTTCAACGCGGCCCGGCTGCACAACCCAAAGGAAATTCAGCACCAGGCGAGTGAAGTGACTTACCTGTGCACAGCTGCACTCGCAGACTTCGGAGCCCCCACCTAATTCTATAACGCTGTATGTCCATGAACTTAATAACAGAAGGTCAGGGGAGAGACGTTCTGAGAGCAATGAAAGTCTATCTTAAGATAAAGATGTTTCTGAAGCTGATTTTTCAAGTCAAACTTGAGAGAGAAATTCAAAGGCTATGTTCTCATATCACATTCCTGGGTTTGGGAGGTTCATTCACAGCTTAATCCTGTCCCCTGAAGTCACGGTTACGTAAGTATGCTGTGTCACTTGCTGTCCCCACCCCCAACACAGGAGATGCAATGTAACCTGAGCTCCCTGGCTTCAGCCACTGAAAACACTTACACAACACTGGGACCATTCCAAATTGACTTGTTTCCTCTAAACAAAGGGCAAGCTATTTGATTTTCGTCCTACTTCGTTCACATTTGTATTTCTGTATATACAGAAGACACTGAAAAAGATAAATAAGATTGAAGGGTATTTGCAAATTTTCTTCAATTCTTGAGTAAAACAGGAAAGTCAACTATTTAACGTCACAGAAGAGTAACCAAAAAAAAAAATTTATGGGCCTGCTTAGCCCCAATTTAAAAACATCACATCTCCTGGCTGAAATGAGCTTAAGGGCTTTGGATGGGCTTCATTTCCCACGTAGAGACTGTTTCTAGAGCCAGGCCCCATACGCTACTGCCACACAGAAGGGCTTTGAGGGCACATGGGAAACGGCTCTCCAAGAACACAGGAGACACATCAGCAGTCTCTTCTGACTACTCTTCTTGCCCTCTCTTCCTTCTCTGGACTACTCCAGCTACTGGGCAGGCTTCGATTACGGAATGATGACTCACCCGCATTCCTGCCTTGTTTGCATATCATGCTATGACTAAGTCCCATGAGATTTGATTTGTCTTCGCAACCAAAGAACCTAAAAAAGTTTGATACACAGTAAGAGTTCAAAAAAATTCTCAAGTGAGTCAACAGCAAAACAAGAATCCACAAAATTATGCAAAATGATGCAATTTTCAAACTAAAGCAACAAGTAACTGTATCTTACACTCTAAACACCTGACAAACCCAGCAGCATTAGAGGGTTTCCCAACTCTGGATCCTTTTTTTTTTTTTCTTTTTTTTGAGACAGAGTTTCACTCTTGTCGCCCAGGCTGCTGGAATGCAGTGGCACGATCTCAGCTCACTGCAACCTTTGCCTCCCGGGTTCAAGCCATTCTCCTGCCTTAGCGTCCCAAGTAGCTGGGATTGCAGGCATGTGCCACCATGCCTGGCTAATTTTTTGTATTTTTAGTAGAGACGAGGTTTTGCCATGTTGGTCAGGCTGGTCTCGAACTCCTGACCTCAGGTGATCCGCCCGCCTTGGCCTCCCAAAGTGCTAGTATTACAGGCGTAAGCCACCACGCCTGGTCTGGATCCTTTTTTAAAAAGTGGGCCAATGAAGGGTGGGTATGGTGGTTCACACCTGCAATTCCAAAGACTTTGGGAAGCTAAGGTGGCAGGATTCTTTGAGCCCAGGTGTTCAATACCAGCCTGGGAAACTTGGTGAGACCTCATCTCTAATTATTAACAAATTAATAAAAAGTAGCTCAATGGGCTGGGCGCGGTAATCCGAGCACTCTGGGAGGCCAAGGCGGGTGAATCACTTGAGGTCAGGAATTCAAGACCAGCCTGACCAACACGGGGAAGCCCCGTCTCTACTAAAAATACAAAATTAGTGGCTCAAGCCTGTAATCTCAGCACTTTGGGAGGCCGAGACGGGCGGATCACGAGGTCAGGAGATCAAGACCATCCTGGCTAACACGGTGAAACCCCGTCTCTACTAAAACTACAAAAAACTAGCTGGGCAAGGTGGCGGGCGCCTGTAGTCCCAGCTACTGGGGAGGCTGAGGCAGGAGAATGGCATAAACCCGGGAGGCAGAGCTTGCAGTGAGCTGAGATCCGGGCACTGCACTCCAGCCTGGGCGACAGAGCGAGACTCCGTCTCAAAAAAAAAAAAAAAAAGCCGGGCGCGGTGGCTCACGCCTGTAATCCCAGCATTTTGGGAGGCCGAGGTGGGCGGATCACGAGGTCAGGAGATCGAGACCATCCTGGCTAACACGGTGAAACCCCATCTCTACTAAAAATGCAAAAAATTAGCCGGGCGAGGCGGCGGGCGCCTGTAGTCCCAGCTACTCGGGAGGCTGAGGCAGGAGAATGGCGTGAACCCGGGAGGCGGAGCTTGCAGTGAGCCGAGATCGCGCCATTGCACTCCAGCCTGGGCGACTAAGCGAGACTCTGTCTCAAAAAAAAAAAAAAAAAAAAAAAAAAAAAAAAAAAATTAGCCAGGCGTGGTGGCACATGCCTGTAATCCCAGCTACTCAGGAGGCTGCGGCAGGAGAATAGCTTGAACCTGGGAGGCAGAGGTTGCAGTGAACAGAGATGGCGCCACTGTACTCCAAAAATGTAGGTCAATGAAGCTAAGGGCAAACTGTTCAATTACTACATACAATGAGTGCTATTTAACAGGTATGAGTCTGGGCTGGGCACGATGGCTCATGACTGTAATCCCAGCACTTTGGAAGGCCAAGGCAGGAGGATCACCTGAGGTCAGGAGTTTGAGACCAGCCTGACAGATATGGTGAAGCCCGTCTCTACCCAAAATACAAAACTAGCCAGGTGTGGTAGCACATGCCTGTAATCCCAGCTACTCAGGAGGCTGAGGCAGGAGAGTCGCTTGAACCCGGGAGGTGGGGGTTGCAGTGAGCCGAGATTGCGCCATTGCACTCCAGCCTGGGCAACAAGAGCGAAACTCCATCTCAAAAAAAAAAAAAAAAAAAGGTATGAGTCTCAACTTAGATAATTGCATTGTTGACACTATTATACTTTCTAGATCAGCACTGTCCAATAGAAATATAATGCAGTACAAATGTATAATTCTGAATTTTCTAGTATCCATATTTTTAAAAATAAAAAAGAAACAGGTGAAATTAATTTTCATGATATAGTTTATTTAGCCCAATAGATCTAAAATATTATTTCAAAATGTAATCAAGGGCTGGGCACGGTGGCTCATGCCTGCCCAAGTGGAAGGATCACTTGAGTTCAGGATTTCAAGACAAGCCTGAGCAACATAGTGAGACTCCATCTCTATGAAATTTTAAGAAATGAGCTGGGTGTAGTGGCACACACCTGCGTCCCAGCTACTCAAGAGGCAGAGGTGGGATGACTGCTTGAGCGCAAGAGTTTAGTTAAAAGCTGCAGAGAGCTATAGTCATGCCACTGCACTCCAGCCTGGGCAGCAGAGCAAGACCTCATCTCCTGCCCAGGCACACTGGCTCATGCCTGTAATCCCTGCACTTTGGGAGACCGAAGCACGTGGATCACTTGAGGTCAAGAGTTTGAGAGCAGCCTGGCCAACATGGTGAAACTACATCTCTACTAAAAATACAAAAATTAGTCGGGCGTGGTGGTGGGCACCTATAATCCCAGCTACTCGGGAGGCTATGGCAGGAAAATTGCTTGAACCCAGGAGGCGGAGGTTGCAGTAAGCTGAGATCGCACCACTGCACTCCAGCCTGGGTGGCAGACCAAGACTCCACCTCAAAAAAAAAAAAAAAAAAAACCTCATCTCTAACAACAACAAATGTGATTAATGTAAAATTATTAGTATTTTACATTCTTTTTTCAAAATCGATCTTTGAAATCCACTGTGTATTTTATACTTATAGCACACCTCAATTTGGACTCACCACATTTCATGTGCTCAATATGTGATTATGTGGCTCGTGGCTACTACACAGGACAACACTGGGCTAGAATACATTCTGAAGGCAGAATACAAGCAGCTCTCCTCTTGGCGTCGATAGGAAAACTAACAAACAGATGATACCCCAGGCCCCGCTGGGTATGCAACATCCATCTTTTGTGCTTCATTACAACACGTATGTGAGGAAAAGGACAGAGAAATGTAAAACTCCTGAATCTCGAACTGGGAATAATTTAATTGTTCTTAGCACAGAAGAGGAAAAAATAGCACTTACAGTAAAAGGAACTTTAAAATGTCTATTTGACAGGTGATACATAATGTATAAGGAAGCCCTGCTGGCAGCACACGGTACTGCCCAGTAACACCGAGAGCTCAGCACAAAGAGTCTGAAAACACACTCACACGAAACTCAAAGCAAAATACAGTACAGAGACTGAGCTACCAATAAAAAATTTAATAAGTATGTCTCAAAGCACATGAAAGGAACCTGTGGCTGGAGATTTAAGGCCAATACAGCAGAATACATCATTTCTTGTTTTTTTGTTGTTGTTGTTTGTTTTTTGGTACAGTCTCTGTTACCCAGGTTGGAGTGCAATGGCGCGATCTCGACTCACTGCAACCTCTGCCTCCTGGGTTCAAGCAATTCTCCTGCCTCAACCTCCTGAGTAGCAGGGATTACAGATACCCGTCACCACGCCCAGCTAATTTTTTTATTTTTAGTAGACAGGATTTCACCATGTTGGCCAGGCTGGTCTTGAACGCCTGACCTCAGGTGAACCACCCACCTTGGCCTCCCAAAGTGCTAGGATTACAGGCATGAACCCCTGCACCCAGCCGCATATAACTGTTTCATTGGCCCATATTCTAACACCTGGGAAATTTGTTAGTCTTCTGAATACGATACAGAACACTTCCTGTGCACATTTACACAGCGTGGTCCAGTGACATGACACTGTGTGACTGGTCAGAATATGTGCCCTAACAACAGTTCCGTGACTCAAAATCAAACCACAGGAGATGAAGGCAGGGAGCATCCACTCCAAGGTGGAATACCCGGTAAGCGCATGAGTGAGTGGTCTCTGCGAGCTGAGGATGAGTGACAGACACCTAAGAGCATCGTTGACTCTGTCTTCCCAAAGTTTGGCCCTGAACGCAGGGAAAATGTGTGTGATGCCACCAAACACAGTTTGGGGCACAGGCCACTGAAGGGCCAATGTATCAAATCAGTGCACTAAGAAGCAAGATTCACTGGACAGAATATAAAGCAGGGACCTGGTGACACTGGTTTCAGCATCAACTAATAGGCTGATTTAAAAGGTAACAGAATAGGCCAGGTGCGGTGGCTCATGCCTGTAATCCCAGTATTTTGGGAGGCCAAGGCAGGTGAATCACTTGAAGCTAGGAGTTCGAGACCCTCCAGGTTGGCCAACATGGTGAAACCGTGTCTCTACTAAAAATATAAAAATTAGCTGGAAGTGGTGGCACATTCATGTAATCCCAGTTATTCGGGAGGCTGAGGCAGGAGAATCGCTTGAACATGGGAGGTGGAGGTTGCATTGAGCCAAGATTGCGCCACAGCACTCCAGCTTAGGCAACAGAGCAAGACTCCATCTGAAAACAAAAAACAAAGGCCGGGCGTGGTGGCTCATGCCTGTAATCCCAGCACTTTGGGAGGCTGAGGCAGGCGGATCATGAGGTCGGGAGATTGAGATCATCCTGGCTAACACGGTGAAACCCCATCTCTACTAAAAATACAAAAACAAAAAATTAGCCGGGCATGGTGGTGGGCACCTGTAGTCCCAGCTACTTGGGAGGCTGAGGCAGGAGAATGGCATGAACCCAGGAGGTGGAGCTTGCAGTGGGCCGAGATTGCACCACTGCACTCCAGCCTGGGAGAGAGAGCGAGACTCCATATCAAAAAAAAAAAAAAAAAAACACCAACATGATGCCATGTGTTAACATTTCCATTCAGTTCCACATATCCCCATCAAGTTCACTGCCTTGTCTATAGGACTGACTTATGCCACCTCTAGAGTCAGGTGTCAGAATAAAAGCATTCCGTCATCTTCAGAAACATGTGCCTTTCACATGAGATTACTTAAATGTTTTATTGAATATTAAAGTCATTCAGCCTGTCCTTTTTTCCATTCCTGTCATGACTATTTATAAGCACAAATATTTCTTCACTAATCTCCATCCCCTGTGTATCCCCCAAGATGTTCTATCGCTGCTGTATGGCTCCCGTTGCTGTCATCGCCTGGATCCACAAGGGATGTGCTCTCACAAGTACTATGGTCAAAAAAGTTAGAAAGATTCCAGGAGCCAGAACTCTAGGTTTTTTTAGTCTTCTGTCACTTTACTGTGCTAGGACCACTAAGATCTATTTTCACTGATATTTGTCTACATATGTAGGTATTTATGTATGCTTCATACATGACATATATAACTTTTTAAATAGGCCAGACTCAGCTTTAAAATTAACACAAAGATTAAAAAAGCAAACAGCAGCTAGGCGCGGTGGCTCATGCCTGTAATCCCAGCACCTTGGGAGGCCGAGGCAGACAGATTACCTGAGGTCAGGAGTTCAAGACAAGCCTGGCCAGCATGGTGAAACCCCATCTTTACTAAAAATACAAAAATTAGCCAGGCGTGGTGGTACACACCTATAATCACAGCTACTCGGGAGGCTGAGGCAGGAGAATCACTTGAGCAAGGGAGGCAGAGGTTGCAGTGAGCAGAGATCTTACCACCACACTCCAGCCTGGGCAACAGAGTGGGACTCTATCTCGGAAAAAAAAAAAAAAAAAAAGCAAACAGCAGCTGAGTATGGTTGCTCAAGCCTGTAATCCCAGCACTTTGGGAGGACAAGGCAGGCGGATCACCTGAGGTCAGACGTTCGAGACCAGCCTGGCCAACATGGTGAAATCCCGTCTCTACTAAAATACAAAAATTAGCCAGGCATGGTGGCAGGCTCCGGCAATCCCAGCTACTCAGAAGGCTGAGGCAGGAGAATCGCTTGAACCCGGGAGGCGGAGGTTGCAGTGAGCCGAGATTGCACCACTGCACTCCAGCCTGGGTGACACAGTGAGACTCCATCTGGGGGATTGGGGACTGGGGTGGGGCGGGAAGCAAACAGCGTATCTTTAAGTAAGGATAAAGTACGAAAGATGGGTAAATATTGTAATCACTGTTTATTTAAAAGGTCAATGTGGGCCAGCCCGGTGGTTTACGCCCATAATCCCAACACTTTGGGAGGCCAAGGTGGGCAGATAGTTTTGAGCTCAGGAGTTTGAGATCATCCCAGGAAACAAGGCAAAACCCTGTCTCTGCAAAGAATACAAAACTTAGCCAGGCGTGGTGGTACGTGCCTGTGGTCCCACAGAGTGAGACCTTGTCTCAAACAAACAAGTAAATAAATAAATGGATCAATGTGAAAAGCCCATTCAGACACTAAAGGACTGACACAAGTCAGTAAGTATCAGAAAATTAACTAGCTCCTTAATTCAAAAGGAGCTACAAGGAAGTTTTATTTCTAAATTCTAACTGAGATAGCCCTTACAGAGCAATTTATAAAATTAGCCGGCTAACCTTAAGTGTTGATTTGAGAATATTATACAGTAAGACACTGCCAGTAAATACAAAGTTTATGGTATCTTTCCAAAGTCAAGAGTAGACATACCCCTTGGAAAAATTATTCTGGGCCGGGCGCGGTGGCTCAAGCCTGTAATCCCAGCACTTTGGGAGGCCGAGACGGGCGGATCACGAGGTCAGGAGATCGAGACCATCCTGGCTAACACGGTGAAACCCCGTCTCTACTAAAAAATACAAAAAACTAGCTGGGCGAGGTGGCGGGCGCCTGTAGTCCCAGCTACTCGGGAAGCTGAGGCAGGAGAATGGCGTAAACCCGGGAGGCGGAGCTTGCAGTGAGCTGAGATCCGGCCACTGCACTCCAGCTCGGGTGACAGAGCGAGACTCCGTCTCAAAAAAAAAAAAAAAAGAAAAAAGAAAAATTATTCTGTGCTTAGGAAAAGTATGTTTTTAAAACTTAAGATGTGTATGACACAGTACAGAACACAAGTTGTACCTAGAGCAGTTTTAAAAAGGAAGGACAGAATTAAAAACCAACCCAGGGAGAAGGTTGGGACATAAGACAATTTTTTTTTTTTTTTAGAGATAGAATTCTGTACTGATGCAACTGCCTGCAATTATGAATGCCTTTGCAGAGCTCAGTCTGAGTGAAGATTTATATTCCTACTACTTAGCACGCAGAAAATAAAGAGCCTCCCAATGTTCCTCCATCTGCAAAAAAAAAAAAAAAATGTTTTAAGGGAACATGGAAAGCTGAATAATTTGAGTTATTTTGTTCATTTACACAAAATTCTACAAAATTCCTGCGACTTTATAACTCTAACACATACCACTAGCTTAGACACAGATCTTAAAAGGGGCTGAAATTACTAGGCCTCTCTAGTATCTCCCAGAAGAACTTACTTAATGGGTCGGCAGCAGTCAATTATACTAATGTGCAAAAAGAAGCAATGTGCTTAATATAGCATCATAAAATTGTAGAATCAGAAGAGACGGTAGCAATCTAGTTCAACTTCCTCATTTTACCAACAAGAAAATGATTCTAAACAGTGAAATCACTTGTCAAGGTCATACTTACTTAACAGTCTAGAACTAAAACCCCAATCTCCAGGCTCCTGATCCTAATGTAAACTGATATATAAATGTTTCTGAATTATTATATACAGCAGTGAGATCAAAGAGTCCATCTCAAAGCAAGTTAAAATTGACCTCCCCAGCCAAGGTGGCTCACACCTGCAATCTCAGCACTTTGGGAAGCTGAGGCAGGAAGATCACTTGAGCCCAGGAGTTCGAGACCAGCCTGGGCAACATGGCAAAACCCCATCTCTACAAAAAATTAGCCAGGTATGGTGTCGCGTGCCTGCAGTCCAAGCTATCTGGGAGGCTGAAGGAGGAGGATCACCTGAGCCTGTGACACAGAGGGCTGCAGTGAGCTGTGATTGTGTCACTGCACTCCAGCCTGGATGAGTTTTGTTTTTTTTTTTAACTTTTGAGACAGAGTGAGACCACGTGCTACAAGGAGGGTTTTTGGTGTGACTCTGTCTCAAAAAACAATAATAGTAATTGATTTCCTTTTCCATTCCTCACAAAGGAAAAAAGTAAGCATATTGTTGCCCACCCCTTAAAGAGTCAGAAACGGCCCACGCTAAAAGCAAAAGCATACCAAAACTGTTTGCTCTGAACAAGAAAAGCGCACAAAAACAACTCTT